TAGTGGTTTATCCAATGTAATCTTACATCTATATAAAACTTATATCTTATTTCTCATATGTGTCAGAAAAGCTTTTCCTGAATGTACTTATTTTTATGAGCACCTACAAGTCTATTTCCTTAAGTCTCTCATGAAGCTGAACACAGTGGAATAAAGCATAGTTTTTATTATTTCATATTTTTTTTACTCTTTTGTGCCTTTATACTGACCAGGCTTTGGGGAGATTTTTGTCCTCCTGTAGCTTCTGCCCTGAATTAAGAAAGTAGGAAGCTGCTGTGTTCTTTCCAGGCAAGTGGGATTTTATGACCCACCTCTGCTACAGGGATTTAAAGAGATGTTCTTGAGCTCTGAGCACATTCTTTAAAGAAAAATCGAAATTCTAGTGTTTTATTAATGACATCCTCCTACTTTGCCTGGGTAGGCTGGTCTTTTAAAGCAGTGGATTAGCACTCAGCAGCTTATTTTCTGGAGAATGAACTCACTTCAAGTTTCTCAGAAACAGTCATTTGTCAATGATTTGGATTTAATTTCTGACTATTTGCATATTAGCTTTTCTGACTCAAGTGAAAGTAGGAAGCACTGGTTGTCATACCTAAAAGCCTAATCTCAGGGAAAATCTCCCACTGGAATTCTAGAACAAAGGATTTCTAGAAAAGACAGCTATGTCCTGGAGTGACTGCTTATCTACTGCTCACTCCCCCCAAATTATAAATCAACATGAGTCTAGAATAGACTCTTCTATACTTGACATCTAATTTAACTCTTCCTGGCACTTCCATTGCAGAATGTCAGGCTTCATTTCCATTGTCCAATTAGAGTTATTGAAGACCAAAACTTCTCTGTCCAAGCTGCTGTGTTAAAATCTTGCTCTGAACATGTTGGTGCAGGTACACCCAGGTACAGGGACTGCACATCTGAGCTTCCTGTGGAGTCACCTGCAGACATCTGGAGACAGGGGTTTGGACATGTAAACACTGAATTTGCAGCTTTGTAATGCTGAAAATCTGGGTAAAGTTGATTTGAGTAAAGTTGACTGTAAGAACATTGAAATAAGGATTCCAATGCTTAGAGAGGCAAATCAGAAAGAGAACATCATTGATGATATTATTCTTTTTGTTAGCTAAGGTCTCATTTTTGGGGAAAGCAGGTCCTTTCTTTCAGGAAGCATCTTTTGTCTTGCAGGGTGAGAGCAATTGCTGTTACAGCCCAGATAAAATCTGCCATTTAAAGTGCTCTGTGAAGACAACAAATCTGATCTCTACCTTTATACAATGATTACAACTCCAGAAAGGCAGCTTTGCCCTTGAATCGATGCAGATGACAGAAGTCAGCTCAGTTGCTCAGAGTTTGTTTTTGGTTTTGTTTTTGTTTGCCAAGGTAAAAGTCAGACAAGCAATATCTAAATTCTTTCTATGTGAATTGCTGTGATCCTGATTAAAGTCTCAGCTTTGGAGAGGGAAGTCAGTAGGGAATACTCTCATTTCAAAATAGTTCTGCTTCAGCCCTTTCCCAGGTTGCTTAGAGAATGCTCAGTCCCTTGTCATTGGGCCCCACTGCTTCCTGAAATGCTTACAGCCTACAATGTTTCTCCACAAAGGACTGATTCTTAAATTAAGTGAGGGTAAATTAGACCTCCTTCACATGCCCCTTGAATTTATAACACTTCTAAGCAGGGCTTTGCTTGCAGGGGGTGTATCAGCTCTGGTGAGTTCTGGTTATATTGCAGCAGAGAAGGTCAACCATGCATTTGTTTCCAGAAGAGATCTGGTTCCATGTGTTGTACGTGTTGCCTCTGGTCCTTACTCTGTGAGATATCTGGTTTACTTTCTCTGTGCAATGTCAGCATCTGTCCAGCTGTTCAGGCTGCCCATGTGCTGAGGGGTAACTCACTGCATCTGCCCTGGGCATCTGTCCCCACTGCCTGGGGATGATCAGCTGAACTTTTAGTTCATTAAATTAGGTTTGCACTGCCATTGACCAAACTTCTGGGTACTTGTTCTGATGGCAGCAAATGAAGAGAAACTGTATTCCTTCTTTCAGCAGCAGGGTGTAAGAGTGAATGCTGGTTGCACCCTGACAACTGTGGGTCAGAGTCTGTGGGTTCATGGGTGTGCTTTTATTATTTTAATGTTTTTCCTTCACTGATGCAAATTACCCAGTTAAGAAGTTAAGGCTACTCATGTGATTCACGCCTTCAGACCCAAGGCTGGGTTGCTGGTCAGTTTGCTTTGCATGTATCTGTGTGGTAAAGAATCCCTCGGGATCAGACAATCAAAAACCTGGGCCCTGCAAATATGAGTTTATAAATTATCTGATTTATAAGTGATCTTCGTGGATTGGCTTTAATATTTTCTTTGAAAATATAGAATGGAGTCTCTCCTGAAGCAGAGCATTTGCTCCACAGGTGTGTTCTGGGAATGATTTCACTTCCTCTGTTCAGAATATATTCTTGACTTGAAAGCTGGAATACAGAGGCTGACAACTGCTGACCCACAGAGGGAAATTAGGCAAAAGGTGCCTAATGATTCAATTGCTTTGTTGTAGGGTAACAGTTATTAAAGTGTTTACAAATACATGAAGTTATATCAAGGGTATTTCCCCTTTACTTTGAGGTTTTGATAAGCACTGGCCCTCTGAGGAGACATTTGTATTGGTCTCCTCCACTTATTCTTTTCTGTTTCAGCATCCTTTGAGCAATAGCTTACAGTATACATATTTATTCTACTCTTCCATACTGTATCTGACATGAATATTGACTTAATCCAGCAATTTGTAAGATTTTAGAGCACAGAAATCCACTGAATCAATCACTTTGTATGCACATGGCAGCATCAAGCCTGTAAAAATAAAATGTAAACTTCTAGAATCTGACTGATTCAAATCAATTTCAGCACTGAGGAGAGAGTCAATTGTTCTTCTCTGGAAACTATCTCTCAACATTTTCAACACTTCTACTTGAAAATAAAAATCAAAGAAAGGATCATCTTAAAATCCCATGGTAATACCCTAGGTATGAAATCAGCTTAGTTTGGTCTAACATGGCTGTATGATTGTAGTCCAATCAGGTGGGGCATTCTGAATTGGGCTGGAATGATACAACTTTCAGATGCATCAGTAGCTGCCTCAGTGGTTTGTATATTGATAGAATCAAGGGAACAGTGCTTAGACCACAAAACTCTTCCATAAAAATAATGGAAGATTTCTTTTCCTATTTTAGTGATTTTTGAAAATCAATATCCCATTACAAAGGAGACAATTAAAAAAATTAATAATTATTATGATAATATACCTCCCCAAAACACAAAAAAATTGCTAAATAAAATATTTGCCTCTTTTTACAGTGCATTATGTTTCTTTTCCTTGTCGAGACCACTGGCTTCTTTGTACTGAAAGATGCTAATTTCTGCAGCCTTTCAGAACATTCACTAAAGCAAAATAATTAGCTGGCTTCTAAATGTCAAAGTTTTCTTGCACTTTCAGCATCTAGGTGACTTTACTGACATTACAGCCCTGAGAGAGAATTAAGCCTATGGGAAGACAATTGATAAAACAAGGGATAATCAAAAGAGCAAACTATGCATCCCCCCCCCCCCAAAAAAAAAGTGTTTGAAAAAAGGCCAGTGCATAAATTTAGGCAGTTCTTCCTTGCACTCATGCTACACAATCAAGCAGTTTGTTAGGCAGTTTCTATCATATGATACTAAAAGAAATTGCTTCAGAACTTCGTTTGTAACATCTGCTTGTTGTAAGAATCAGCTTCTCATAACAATATTTGAATTTTGATTCTAAGGCCAAGTATTTTATTGGAAAAGAGGAAGGAAGAAAAAAATGGACAAGTTTTCCTTTGAAGCTGTATTATTTTGTCTAAGATTTTAGTTGTTTTGCCTTATTGTAGAGGATTTTTTATTTGGGAGACAGGTTTTAAGATGGGATTTCTTTTTTTTTTTTTTTTTTGTGAGTTTTTTCTAGTGTGATTTAGAATTTAATGGAGAATTTGTTATATCTTGAAAGGAGATAACTTTTTCAGTGAATATGATGCTTTCGGAAGAAAAAAAGAATAACTATGTCATGAATAGTGTGAGACTTCCCTGTATCTTGCCTGTTTTCCTGCTGAAATCTCCAGTTCTTTTCAGGAAGAATGATTTCTGCTAGGCAGTAAAGGTTTTTCAGCCTTTTTGTCTCTCCAAACCAACTTCTATAGCTGCTGCTGGGTGGAATGCTAAATTTTATAAGATAAACTCTTGTCCATGCAGTGGGATACTGAAAGCTACTACTTTGTTTCAGAGCAATGAAAAGTCACCAAATTATTACTTTGGAAATATGTGACCCAAAGCAGTCTCAATTAATTTACCACCTGAAGTAAAAGCTTAAGACAAAATGTGACATTTTGCATGTTGTTGATCTCATATCCCAAGACACAACTGACTGTATTCCATAAGTGGATGCATTATTTTCAAGAACACTTTTACAGTTGCAAACCAAGGTTCAGAGAAAGGTGGCTCATAAATATTTAACTGATAGTGCATTTTAGGGAAACAATATCTAAGTGGCAGCCACGATATCTTTATGGCACCTTTTGACCTGCAATAGCCAATAAACACACACATTACTCTCTAATTGCTACTCAGCAGAGAACAAATTGATTAAAGAATAATTTAATCAGGTGTTAGAAAGGGAGGTTGGGGATCATTCACCCCTAACTCATTGCCCCCCCTGCTGTTCTCTGGTCTCAGTCAGCAGCCAGTCATGAGCTGTCCCGTTCAGGCCTGTGTATCTCAACAGCCTGGATGTAGTTTCAGACGTCAATCAGCTCCACCAAATGTGCTTCCCACCCAGGAATGCCTGTAAGGCACTCTGGGCAGGGGAGAGGCTCTTACCTCTGCGGTGATTTACTACCCTTTTACATGTGTAAGGTGATCTGTGTGTCTCTTAGCAATGCTTTCAACCCCCTTGTCTGATTTGAAATGTTTATTTGTTTGTCGTTTTAGGCTCAGAAAAAAAAGGGTTCTTTAAAGAAGCTGGATAATGGGGCACTCCTTGCATAAGGAACTGAGCGATTCAACAGCCTCATCAGTCCTGCTGCAAATCTCTGCTCACACCAGAAGGGTAAGATGATGAACTTGGCTCTTTGGCAATAAGTGTGTGTGAAATTCTATCGCCTAATTTTTGTTGTCCTATTAGGATTTAGCTCCCCTGTGGTGTACGTAGCGATCCAAAAGAGTGTTATGTAAGTGGTCCTGAGCTGCGTGTTTTTACTTTAGTGGACTTTTTAAAAAGTTCTGGGAAGAGGGAGGTGAGTACCAGAGTTGTTATCTGACTCCCTGAAACTCCGCTCCAGGTAACGATTTCCTGTACTTGAGTTGCATTTCTTGGAGAGATGAGAGAGAAAAGGATTTTAGTTCTATCCTTCCCTGAGAGGGTCTGCCTATGAGTCAGCAGAGTAAGAAAGAGCTGGGGAGCAAATTTGTACATCAGAACTCACATCTGCAGGTGTTCAAATTTACAATCCTGATATGAGGTTTCTTTTTGTTTTGTTTTATGGTCTAAAATGTGCTAATAAGAGGATAAAGTATATATAAATGTTGGTAGTCGTATGTCAAATGTCTCTTTTTCTAGTTTCTTCACCTTTCAGTAATAATAAGTTATCACAGTTACTGACCAATATATTTTGATTTCTAGCTCTTTTTGAATAATATTAAGGCATTTGGGAAAGATGTGCAGGCTAAAAAAGCCTTACTCCCAGAAGAAGCGGGGTATGCTTTTCTTTTTTTTCTTCCCCCCCCCTTTTGTTTATTAGTTTTTGTTTGGAGTCTTTTATTTGCTTGGGGTTTTGTGAGTGTTTGTTTTCATTTGGTTGGTTGGATGTTGGGTTTTGTGGTTTATGTTTGCTTGACTAGTTGTGGGGGGGGGTCGTGGTTTTTTTGTTTTGTTTTGTTTTTGTTTGGTTTGATTTGGGGTTTTTTTTGGTTGGTTGGTTTTTTAAAGTGAATTCTCTGTTTGGGGCAGATGAGAACGAGCAAGTCTTCACCCCTTCCACATTAGCACATGCATTTTGAAGAGGTGCTGTGTATTTTGCAACTGAGCAAGTTTGTCTTCAGTACAGAGTTTGCAGTGTTTTATAGTTAATCCTTTTCACACAGAACAGAACTAGCTGTAATTCCTTGTCTGTGCAGCTCTATTTGAAAAGCATCTCTAAGGATGACACTTTACATGGGCTCACCGAGCCCGTGACAGCCTGTTTAGAAACCAAGAACATCCAGCCTCGGTCCTGCCCTGCCTTAACACGAGGTGCTCAGTAGGGCATCACCTATTACATCATTTGTGGCTCTTTGCAGGCAAATGTTAATGTTTACTGATGGTTCAGTAGTGAAACGAGCTGGAGAAGAGATCTGTGGTGTCTCAGTTCAAGGCTCAGCTCTGGTGCAAAGGCTTAAATAAATCTGGAGTTAGGGACAGCACAGTAATTCTGTCCCCAGTGTATCCTGCATGGTTGGGCTGTGACCTCTCAGTGCCAGGGAGGTGGTCACTGGCACATGTGCCACACAGCCTGTGCTCAAAGCAGGGCTGGACTGGCTAACAGCTGCTTTCTGTGCCCCTGAGCCCGAGGAACATCACAGGGAGGTCACTCTGCTCAGGCCTTGCTGCATAAGGAGGGGCTGATGCAGCAAGGTAGGGAGATGATCCCAAGTGTAGACAACTGCAGGAGGCAAGATACTTGTTTGCCCTGGGTAAAACTGGGTATATTTAGAGCTGTGGTGCACCCAGAAATAAGAGTATAATTTTTCACATTTAATTTCTCTGAGAATCAATGCAGTGTATCTGTGGCGGGACTCTTATTTCAGTGAAGCAGTAAATAAGACAAGGTACCTGCTGGGGATCTGCTCTTTTAGTCATGGAGACTGTTCATGTTTGAAACAAGGACTACCCTCATACCTGCCTGTAGAATAACTGTGGAGTTAGAGAAGGACTAAAGCTGCAGTAGAAATGTTCTTTTTCTTCCTCATAAGTAATGCTCCTTTGGAAAAGGAAGCACCCACATAAGAGAACCCAAATACTACTATCTGAGGAATTCTACTGTTGCAAAACCACACCAGAAACCTTGCTGTGTGTTGAAGCAGATGCAGGTCTGTTCTAGATTGGTTGATATGGGTTCTGATGGGTTTTCTTTAGCTTACTGTATTTTGAATGAGTTGTTGGGAGTCCCAAGCAGGGTACATATTTCATTGAATGGAATAAACAGTTCTGTACTTTAGGAAGGTAATTTAATAATGTGGCAGCATGTATTCAATTATTTAGCTTTAAAGCATCTGATTAGTGAAGTCTTTAGAAATCTTGATTACAGGCATGGACAATCATTCTGCGTATAAGTATCTTGACTATTTAAACTTCTCTCATCTCAGACTATTTTATATTGTTTTTCTAACTATGCCACAGTTCAGTGAGTCCTGTGAGCACTCCCCCTTAGTGCTCTAATTGCCTGACTTCTGCAGATACCGTATCAGCCCATCAGTATTAATGCAGCAGAAAGCAAGTACCCTTGTGTCTCTACAAAGCCAATTTAAAATATTTCTAGAATATACTTTTGAATTACGTTTTCTTCATCTTATTTTAGATAACACTTTGATTTAAATAAAACTGCCTGTGGGGCATTGTAGACTGATCAAAAAGTGCTGTATTGTTCTATTAGTTTAAATTCTTGGTGCTGCAATAAATCATTTTCTGCCTACTTCATTTGCATTTTTCAGGTTCTTAATTTAGTTCCAGCATAGGATTGTCTCAAATGGAGGAGGCAGAGATGTGAGGTGAAGTGTGGAGGAGCAACATTTATTGAAGAGGTACATGTGGCAGAAAGGATTTGGGCTGAAATATGTAATTAGAAGCTTTTTAAGAATGAAGCAAAGGATTTCAATTTCCTTCCAGCCTATCCATGAATCGGCAGAAATGTAAAACGAGGGCTGCAGTGTGGGGTGGAGGGAAGATTACAGGGCACAGCCTGTCAGGTGCATGTTTATTAGTAAGAATCTGACCTGCAGTACTCAGATGAAAGCACCCTTTTCTCTGAGTATCTTCAGATAAAATGCTAATCTTTAGCCTATGCCCTTGAAAGAACTCACAGGGAAGATTTCTGTCAGGGTTTTACTGCTCTTCAGATGGCTTTGCTTTGGAAATGGGGTGTAACATTTTTCTTTGGTTGTAATTATAGAAAGCAGTCGACTTCTTTTCTTCAGCAAAACAGAACAATGATGTTCTTTAAATAGGTCCATTTATTGAAGAACTAATATATTAAGCAAGCTGAAGATTTACCTTTTTCTTCTTCCCTCTGATACATACATAGAACTTTGCAGTCCTATAATTATGGCTTCTCATTTTTGGCATACAAATTGTTGGCAAATGCTTTTTCATTTGTTCTTTTGTGCTGAAATGTAGAAGCTGGAACATTGTATTCTTCTCATGTGTGTACAGTATGATTTGATTTCTGAGCATCTTTACTCCTCTTCTGGCCTGTTGTATCTGTAGAATTGTGAACTAGTGAAATTTTTCTCTAAGAAGTGGATGAAAATAATTATTTCTTGAATTTGGCCTGCTAATTTTTTTCAACGCATTTTTTTAAAGTTTTTTCTTTCTAAGTAGTTTGGAGTTGTTCCTGGGAAGATGTTTTCTGGATGTAGGCCTCTAGCCTGTAATCATCAAGGTTGGGAGAGACTTTCAAAATCGAGTCCAGCCATCAACCCAATACCACCATAATCACCCCTAAACGATATCCCCAAGTGCCACATCCAGATGCCACTCCCAGAGTGTCACACGTCCAGAGATGGTGACTTCACCACCTCCCTGGGCAACCTATTCCACTGTCTGACCCCTCTTGGAGTGAAAACTTTTTTTTTTGGTAATATCTATTCTGAACCTCCCCAGAGAAGGAGTTAAGCACAAATGTACCTGCATGAATCTGGGTCAACTAACGTGTAGTTGACTGATTAGACTTGCAAATTGCTGCCAAAATCTTTAACCTAGAATTTAAGGAAACTGCATACCAAAAGAAACCAGATGAGAGCCCAATATTTCTTCTCTGTGATGCCTTCAAAAACATTCAGTGGATGTCACGGGGCTTAGTCTGCAGATGAAGTTTGTGGACTCTGTTTGGCAAACAGATTCAAATGTGTTACTCATCAGCAAGAAGCCACAGGTCTGCCTGGCTTGATGTTCAGCGAAATAAATATTTCAGTGGGGCTAGGAGGTGGAGGGCACTGTCTCCATCAGAGCAGCAGTGCTCTGGCAGGAGGATGGAGCTACGAGGCCTCACATTTCTGCAATATGGACTGTCAAAATTCTTCAGTCTGGATGAGAATGAGGAACCCAACAGACACTCCCAAATTCACGACAAGGCGAGTTTTCTGACTGTGGGCAGACAAGGACTAATTTTAACTTCGGAAGGACAAATACTCAGAAAGCAGTTGTATCAATTATTATTAGATTATTATGCTGGAAGGACCTCTGTCCTGTTGTGGGAATAGAAAAGAATTCATAATTTATAATATAATTAGGTAATTTTTAGCTAGCAGCCTATAACTTAGAAAGTGACTGCTGTTTTTGTGTGATGGCTCATCAGTTTTCACTGTGAAATGTGAAATTCCAGAGGTCTGAATGTTTTAAAGCATATGAAGCAACCAAAATTAAGTTCCTGGTAGCTTTATTGCTTAGTTTTGCTGGGAAATATAAATTTATCTCAGATATTAAAATGCCCTAAAGTGGACATAGTTCATTTATTCTACCATTCCCCACAAATGTAATAGCTAAATATTGGATATTTTCAATGTGAAAGCTACTGTGGAGCTGAAAAATACAGAATCCATTTTAGAAAATGATGAGAAATACTTATTTTGCTGCATGTCATAGGTCAGTTTAGATAGTCTTTGTTCTTAGTGGAGACATATTGATTTTCATGTTTCTCCTGTTAGTTAGAATGGCATATACAGGATAGCAAATGTGAAGAGCAGCTGAGGTTCATATATCACAGTCCCAAAGCCAACAAAGACCTTTTTAACACTCAGAAATAATGGAAACAGACTGTAATAAAGGCCAGTATTCAAATATGAACTTAATTGAGA